ACATAATTTGTATTTTATAAACAGACGACAAACATAAATATTCTTAGCAAATCGAAGGAATACTTCGCTTTTTTTATTTTATTCGAATTTAATTAGCCAATTTATGTTTTATGGCTTGTAAAATGTTTGTGAGTGTGCTTAGGCGTGTTTAATTTTACGATAACATTTCTAAAGGATCGTAAAATTTGTAAGTTGTGTTGTCGTTAGATATTCCAATTGGATTTCCAAAAATTCATATTAGGAAATTTGTATCCATATACATACATATATAATTTCCAGACATTATCAGCTAATATTAGTGGCTCGTGTCTGGAAATAAAAAAAGAAAACAATTTCCTTCTCGCATCAAAGATATTTTTCCGAATATAAACGAGTACGACATATTGTTATGTAGCTTCTCTCTCCTAGTCTCTAGCTGTTGTCATTCCTGACATTTATAGATGGAGACGGTTTGTGTGGTCGCTTCCCCGTTTTATGATCATCACCCGAGGCCTTCATTTATTTTGGGGTTAACATAAGATCTGCAACTAAATATCGGATTGTTGTTGTTGTTGTCGATGTTGCTGTTACGACTTGCAACAATTTTAATGTTACGTCTCATGATCTTTTTTGCAGATCATAAAAAGTAATTTATGATCTCAGTGTCTCGTTGTTGTTTTTATTGTTGGCTGGTGACAATAGCTGGGAATTTCGTTGCTTAGAATATTTTCGTTTTTTTTTACAGATTTCCATGTCTTAATTTGTTGTCAAAGATAATTGTCTCTGACATTTATGTTGTTTGTCATAAAATATTGTTGATGTTGTTGTTTTTGGGGGGTTTCACATTTCTATTATATTTAAAGAAAATCGAACATGGACCGACCAACCCATACATTAAAGGCTAAGGCGTTAAGTTAAATGATAACAAATCGTTAGTTTCGTTTATCATTTCGTTCGGGACCTTCACAAATGGCGGGAAATGTTATGTTTAATTTTTGGTAGGAAGATTTAACAGCCAATGTCAATCAAATTAGAGCCAAAATGGGCCCAAAATGCCGTGCCAATATGAATCCCAATTGTAACAAGTAAAAAAGTGTCAGTCGGCGTTGCCGACAGATATATACCCCCTATGGTTTGCGGAGGAGGGCTTCGGAGTTATACACAGGTTTTATGTTTCGGATTTGATAATAAAATATTGATCCTATTTGTAGGATGTACCAGAGTAGAGGGCAGACGAGTCCGCCTTCGGACTTGACCTAAGCTTGGTAAAGATAACAGGTTGTGCAAAATTTGGTCCAAACCGGGCATTCCATTCACCTAATATTGGATTTATAAATATTGAAAATGTTGACCACTTGTGTGGAAGTTACCAGAAGGGCTGGATCAATGGGTCCCATCATCGGACTTGATCTAGACTTGGTAAAGATAACAGGTTATACTATGTTTGGTTCAAATCATGCATTCCAATCGCCTGATTTATAAATATGGAAAATTTCGATCATTTTTTGAGAGGTACCAGAATATGTGGACCAATAGATTCCAAACAAAACAAAAAAGGGTCCCATCTTCCTACTTGATCTAGGGTTGGTAAAGATATTCGGATAGTCAATTTTCATGTTATTATAAAATTAATTATACCCTACACAACTATGTTGTCAGGGTATTATAGCTTTGTGCAGCCCCAAAGGTTTGTAATGCCGCGATCGTCATATTTTCGACTAGCTGAGTCGATTTGGACATGTGTGTCCGTCCGTCTGTCCATTATAATTTGTAAACACGACACAGGCTACAGTTATGGACCAATATTCACGAAATTTTGCATGTAGGATGGGTTTTGCCCAATGAATACCCCTATTGTTTTTGGTAAAGATCGGTTATTATTTGGGGGAGGAAATGGACCAAATACATAATTTTTGTCGGGTTTTGTGGTCTCTTTAGAAGCCGCAATTATGGTCCGAAATTTTTCATGGAGAAGGGAATCGCGCCAAAGAATAAGCATGCCTGTTTTCATAAAGATCGGTCAATATTTAGCGGGTTAAATGGACCCCGACTTTTGTGTGAAAAATTTTAAATTCTGTATTCTATGGTGTATATTTTTACTCCTGAAGGACATAGAGCCGAGAAGTTGATATTATCGGTCAGATTTAGCGGTTTAAATGGACCCCGACTTTTGTGTGAAAAATTTTAAATTATGTATTCTATGGTGTATATTTTTACTCCTGAAGGACATAGAGCCGAGAAGTTGATAGTGGTTGACCAAGAGGAGTGGTTGACCTTTAAATTGATACCAATTATATTGTCGCATGTACTCGGATATGGGAGATACACTTAAATATTCATATGTGACTACGTATTCAGATATTATTTAGTAATCGTATGGTCGGCCCCGTCCGACTATACTGCTCTGCTCACTGATTTTTAGCATAATTTTGACCATTTTGTGGGGGAGGTACCAGAAGGAGTGGACCGATATTCCCCCATCTTCGAACTTAAACTAAGTTTAGAAGAAATATTAAGATGTGCAAAGTCTGCATGAAATCAAATATTCCCATCGAGAGTTATTGTGCGCACTAGCCAGCCAGACAGACGGATGGACGGACGGGCATGTGTAAATCGACTCCAAATTTTCTGAAACGGATTTGGTCCAAAGAAACATGGGATCTAAAATCAATATTTTGGTGAGGCACATTTTCACCGTATCAAAGTGTATATACCCGTTCAGCTCGTCTAGAGAATCCGTTCAGGAAGTCTTTAGAGACTCTCTTCAGAACGTCTTTACGGACTCCCTTTAGATTGTATATAGAGAATCCCTTTAGGTTGTCTACAAATACTCCATTCATATAGAGGCTCCCTTCAGTCCGTATATAGAGATTCCCTTCAGATAATCTATGTAGACTCCCTTCCTTTCGTCTATATAGACTTTCTCCCTTCAGCTGTAACACAGCTTCTTCTTTAGGCGAGTGGCTACCTCGATTGGCGTCATGTCGAGGCTCTTTGGCGGATGATTCACACGATATCACACGACGATCATGCTTTATCGGTTTTGTAACACAGCTTCATCTTTAGGCGAGTCGGTCCCTCCATTGGCGCCCTATTTATCATTGTAATATACCGATTTTTAGATGCGCGGGCAAGAGTTGGTGCGATAACCACGTCGTATATCAAAAAATTATTGCACACAAATATTAACTTGTTTATTCCGTTTTTTGGACAAATTACTATCTGTAGGTCTAGTCCATTTCCTGGTGCTCAAACTTCCAAAGTTTGTCCGATTGATACGAAATTTTGCATAGCGTACCGTATTAAGTCTAGTACGATGTGAGCTAAACTTTATTGAAATCCGGTTACATTAAGATATAGCTCCAATACATATTTTGGGTATATAGAGTACCAAACTCCTAAAGTTTGTCAGATGTATAGAATGTATGTTTTTATACCCTTCACCACACTGTGGTACAGGGTATTATGTCTTTGTGCATATGTTTGTAACATGCAAAAGGAAACTAGATAGACACATAGCTCCTCTTGAGAATATGCATAGAATCTCTTTCTGTGTCGATTTATGCATGTCCGTCCGTCCGTCAGTCTGTCGGTCCGTCCGTCTGTAGATGTTAAATTGTAAACAAAGTACAGGTCACATTTATAATCCGATTTCACTTATTTGCCCAACAACGAACCCTATTGAAATTGGGAAAAATCGGTTCAGATTTAGATATAGCTCCCATATATATTTTCGTCCGATTTAAGGTAAATTGGGCACCAAAGTCCCTATATATAATTCGATTTGCATGAAATTTGGCATAGAGTACTGAATTAGGTACAGAATGATGTGTGGTATGTTTCGATTTTCTCAGAAACATAGGTGCAGAATGATGTGTGCGAGGTTTCGAGAAAATCGGTTCAGATTTAGATATAGCTCCCATATATAGTTTCGTCCGATTTAAGTTACTATAACCTTTCTTGTGTCAAGTTTTTTTGAAATTGGTTCAGATTTACATATAGCTTCTATGTAAATAGTGCACTAAGGGCCCATACCTAGGCCGATTGACAAAACGTACTGAAAATAATAAAAATTAATATTTAGTAAGTTTCCATGAAATAGGTTCTGATTTAGATATAGCATAGCTTCCATATATAATTTCGATCTATTCCTGTTGATTGTACACCAAATAATCAATGGGTGCCTAGTGTGCGTACAGTTTGCTTAAAGTCTCTTTACAAAGTATGGAATAGATTGCAGGATGGCATGTGTAAGGATTGATGTTAGTCGGTTTACTTATAGATCGCATTTTTAAGTTCGTTCAATTTCATGTCAATGTTCCTTCGAAAAGACGACATCTGTAAAGATACATATGTAGAATATCCCCAAAGTGGTGAAGGGTATCATATAGCCGGCCCAGTTCGACTTTACTACTTTCCTTACTGGTTGTTTTTAAATCGGTTCAGATTTAGATATAAAGATCCTACATTGTCCAATTGGCACGAAATTTTGATTAGCTTCTTGAATTGAGTCTATAATGTTCGTACGTCTAACAATATGGAGTAGATTTTTATTCTACAAAAAATTTAAGATTTTCCGAAGATGGCGCCAGAACTGTAATTTTTTTTCCACTACACTGTTAACAACACAACACATGATCGTACGCCAAATCGTACTGAGTGAGATTATTTTATAGAAATGTCAAAATTAGCAATTGGAATGATAGATGGCGCCACCCTAAGTGTTGCCTAGACCATAACTAATATATAGTCGCCCTCGTATGTGTTTCCTTCCCCTGTACATACTCAAATTTCCAACAGCGTATGTCCTGAAAATAATTTTAAAATACAAAAATAAATAAAAGATATTTAATGCTACTGTAATTTGTCACTTTTCGTTTCATATTTTTATTAATTGCCTGTAATTTTTATCTCAGCAAACTATTCGAAACCACAACAGAAAACATGAAACCATTTTGGTTTTTTTTTTGCAAATTTTTCACAAACCTTTTAATGATTGCTGTTTTTTGTTTTCTTTGCAGGTTAATGAGGCTTTTGAATTGTTGAAAAGACGCACTTCCTCAAATCCCAATCAAAGATTGCCGAAAGTTGAAATACTACGAAATGCCATTGAATATATTGAAAGTTTAGAGGATCTATTGCAGGTATGTTGCCCATACCCATACACACTTAGATGATTTGACGATCAGTGGAATTTGAAAATTGGTAGATTCTATGAAAGGACAATTAATACTGACATTTTGTGTTTTAGGAATCATCGCCGATTCGTTCAATGGATAATATAACCGATTCAATAAGTGGGAAATCATGCCATCAGGACTACTTGGTAAGTTAAAAAAAAATAATTTTAACCATTACAATTATAAAAATCTGCAAGTAAAAGGACCTCTTCAGCTCTGATAGTCCTTTCTTATATATGTATAAAATCCAGAATTATGGTTTAAATATTCTCTCCAATAAATGTTTTTTTTTAACAACTGCCAATTGCATTCCAAATTCAAACAGGTGGCAGCCGATCAAATAAATCTCTATTCTACTGTTCAATAATGCCGAAAAATCATAATAATAAATAGATGGGGAAAACACTTTAGTCCACCTCCATCCCCAACACGCCTAACAATTTGTTTTCTGTTTCCATTTCTTGTGTGTCCATCCTCTAATTTTAGATTTCTTTTTTGTGTGTTCAAACTATTTATTTTTGGGAATGCAAAAGAAAAAAAAACATTGCTATGGAAAATTCGAACAAATAGAAAATTATTTCAATGTCGAAGCAATAAATCAGGAAGATGCTCTCGGTATCGCTACATTGACGTTTGCATTCTGTTCGTACAAATGTGTGCGTTTAAAGAAAAAATAACAACTAAATTGTTTGTAGAGGGAGACAAATATTAATGCTAATGGAAATTCAAATTGACACGTTTGAAATCACAGGCGCAGGGGAAGACTACTATCGGCTAATTTGATCATCCCTTCATTATAAGCATAAAAGCTATCGCAAAGGTATTAAAAGCCTTTTTGTATTGGAAAAGTACAAATCAATGATATGCTCAATAGCGTTTAATCTTTTCCAAAATATTACAATAACAAGAGAAAATACAGTCTGCTTCGCATAACTGCAACATGCGTCCTCGATAAATATTATTAAAAAAAAAATATTTTCCTATATAGCCTCTCGAAACAAATGTTCCTAATTTTGTTTTCTTTATAATTCTCTGGAAAATTGTTCTTAAAAACAACTAGTCCTCAATATGACCTTGAAAAAAGCTCTAAATATCTAATAGACCACAAAAAATATTCTTTAAAAAAATCCACACCTCTATATGATCTCGAAAAATATTCTTTAAAAAATCCACGCCTCTATACGACCTCGCAAAAAATATTCTTTTAAATATCCACACCTCTATAAGACCTCGAAAAATATTCTTTAAAAAATCCACGCCTCTATAAGACCTCGAAAAATATTCTTTTAAATATCCACACCTCTATAAGACCTCGAAAAATATTCTTTTATCCACACCTCTATAAGACCTCGAAAAATATTCTTTTACAAAACCAACCCCTAGAAGACCTCGAAAAATAGTCTTTAAAAAATCCACGCGTCTATAAGACCTCGAAAAATAATCTTTAAAAAATTCACGCCTCTATAAGACCTCGAAAAATATTATTTTAATAATAAACGCCTCTTTAAGACCTCGACAAATATTCTTTTAAAAATTCACGCCTCTATAAGACCTCGAAAAATATTATTTTAAAAAATCACGCCTCTATAAGACCTCGAAAAATATTCTTTTAAATATCCACGCCTCTATAAGACCTCGAAAAATATTCTTTAAAAATCCACGCCTCTATAAGACGTCGAAAAATAGTCTTTAAAAAATGCATGACCTCGGAAAATAGTCTTTAAAACGTCCACGCCTCTATAAGACCTCGAAAAATAGTCTTTAAAACGTCCACGCCTCTATAAGACCTCGAAAAATAGTCTTTAAAAAATCCACGCCTCTATAAGACCTCGAAAAATTGTCTTTAAAAAATCCACGCCTCTATAAGACGTCGAAAAATAATCTTTAAAAAATCAACGTCTCTATAAGACCTCGAAAAATAGTCTTTAAAAAATCCACGCTTCTATAAGACCTCGAAAAAATTGCTTTAAAAATACAGGGCTCTATAAGCCTCGAAAAAAAATTCTTTAAAAAATCCATGCCTCTATAAGACCTCGAAAAATATTCTTTAAAAAATCCACGCCTCTATAAGACGTTGAAAAATATTCTTTAAAAAATCCACGCCTATATAAGACCTCGAAAAATAGTCTTTAAAAAATCCACGCCTCTATAAGACCTCGAAAATATTCTTTAAAAAATCCACGTCTCTATAAGACCTCGAAAAATCCAGGCCCCTACAAATCATCGAAAAATATTCATTAAAAAATCCACGACTCTCAAGACCACCAAAAATATTCGTTAAAAAATTTACGCTTCTATAAAAAAATCCATGCCTCTATAAGACCTCGATAAATATTCATTTAAAAATCCATGTCTTTATATGACCTCGAAAAATATTCTTTAAACAATCCAGGCATCGAAAAATATTCCTTTAAAAATCTGGGCCTCTATAAGGCATCGAAAAATATTTTCTTGAAAATCCAGGCCTCATTAAGAACTCGAAATATATTATTTAAAAAATCCACTCCTCTATAAGCCCTCGAAAAATATTCTTTAAAAAATCCAGGCCTCTATAAGACCTCCAAAAAGGATTCTTTATAGAATCCAGGCCTCTATAAGACCTTGAAAATAATTCTTTAAAGAATCCAGGCCTCTCTAAGTCAAATATCCTTAAAAAATCCACGCCTCTATAGCCATTGGAAAAATATTCTTTAAAAAATCCTCTCCTCTATAAGCCCTCGAAAAATATTCTTTAAAAAATCCAGCCCTCCATAGGAGCTTCAAAAATGTTCACGCCTCTTAAAGAGATCCAGAATTATGTTTTTTAAATCCTTACCTCTGTAAGACCTCCAAAAATAGTCATTAAAACATCACTCCTCTGTAGGCCTTGGAAAAATATTAGTTAGAAAATCCACGCTTTCATATCCCCGTCCGAAAATATGATTAAAAAATATCTTTCGAATAATAATTATCAGGAACCAACTGTCCTGCATTCCATACCCAATTGTTGTTGTTGGCTTTTTTGTTGGCTTCTTTTTTTGAAAATATCATAATTGGAAAATTTATTTGAAATATTTTATTTTTTTTCGAATATAAAAAAATATATACGCCGCTGCAATAATTTTTGATTTGTTATAAAATTTATTGTTATTGGATATTTTTTGAATTTATACATATTTCTATTGTTGTTGTTGTTATTGTTGCTGCTAACGATGTCGTCGATGATTATTCAAGTATTTGGTGTTAAATTAGCCATAAAGGAGAATGAGGGTGGGGAGAGGTGCCATATGTTTTCTTATCTGTGGCGGTATTTGTTTTTTGTCACTTGTGTATGATATATGTGGAAGAGGTAATATTGTATAGAGGGTGGGGGACAGTGTTCCACTAAGGAATGACAAATGTAATAATTTAATGCTAGTGGGCCATATGAAGTCTAAAAATAACATTTTTTTATGATCGCATGTCGAATTTTAATCAAAAATATTCGATTTTTAATTATGTTTATGGTTTTCCAATGGGGACTCTAGATTTTTGGTCGAAAATAATTAATATTAAAAGCATTGCAATTCAACCACAAGACCTCCCCAGAATTTTATATTCGATACAATAGCAACAACAAAATTGCATAAATACTTTTGTGGCGGCTGGCCCCCAAACAGATGCTGAGCGGCTTGCCAATTGGGTTTCGAATTGTTTTCTTTTTTTTCCAAAATTTATTTGAATGAAATAGAATATCCATATCATAAATTTACTGGACGACACTATGGTCGGCATTTCCCAACGAAAATGTTTTTGTGCGCCCTGCAACAAATAATGTCGCGTTGTTTATTTTGGCAGATTTTTTCCTCTTCGTCGTTTCAAAAGTTCTGACGTGAATTAATTTTATTTTGGGTTTTTTGGTTTGTTTTTGTGACGTTTTCTTAATGTCTAGTATTTCTTGGTGGTATTTATATTTATTTTTTGTATTGTTTCCACAATGTTGTTGTACATTGATAGATTTGTTTGAATACTATTGTGGACATTGCAAACAAAAGGTGTTGTGGCATTGGTGTGATAAAAGTGAAAAAAATGAAAAATTCTTTAAAAAATCCACGCCTCTATAAGACCTCGAAAAATATTCTTTAAAAAATCCACGCCTCTATAAGACCTCGAAAAATATTCTTTAAAAAATCCACGCCTCTATAAGACCTCGAAAAATATTCTTTAAAAAATCCACGCCTCTATAAGACCTCGAAAAATATTCTTTAAAAAATCCACGCCTCTATAAGACCTCGAAAAATATTCTTTAAAAAATCCACGCCTCTATAAGACCTCGAAAAATATTCTTTAAAAAATCCACGCCTCTATAAGACCTCGAAAAATATTCTTTAAAAAATCCACGCCTCTATAAGACCTCGAAAAATATTCTTTAAAAAATCCACGCCTCTATAAGACCTCGAAAAATATTCTTTAAAAAATCCACGCCTCTATAAGACCTCGAAAAATATTCTTTAAAAAATCCACGCGTCTGTAAGACCTCGAAAAATATTCTTTAAAAAATCCACGCCTCTATAAGACCTCGAAAAATATTCTTTAAAAAATCCACGCCTCTATAAGACCTCGAAAAATATTCTTTAAAAAATCCACGCCTCTATAAGACCTCGAAAAATATTCTTTAAAAAATCCACGCCTCTATAAGACCTCGAAAAATATTCTTTAAAAAATCCACGCCTCTATAAGACCTCGAAAAATATTCTTTAAAAAATCCACGCCTCTATAAGACCTCGAAAAATATTCTTTAAAAAATCCACGCCTCTATAAGACCTCGAAAAATATTCTTTAAAAAATCCACGCCTCTATAAGACCTCGAAAAATATTCTTTAAAAAATCCACGCCTCTATAAGACCTCGAAAAATATTCTTTAAAAAATCCACGCCTCTATAAGACCTCGAAAAATATTATTTTAAAAATCCACGCCCATATAAGACCTCGAGAAATATTCTTTAAAAATAATCCACTCCTCTATATAATATTATTCTCCAAAAATTTTTTAATTTTAATTCATTTCTATTTGAAAATTTATGAATAAAAAATTTTTGGTTCGATTTGAATATTTGTATTTATAACTTACTTTTATTATTTTGAAAATTTTCTATTAGAAAGATTAACATAAACATTTGCATTTATC